GGGGGGGGGGGGCTCGCTGCGGCGGCGCAAGCGCGGGCTCTGTGACGCAGGCCCTGACGTTCCCGGGGGTATAAAAGGCCGCTGTGCGCGCAGGCTCTTCCAGGAGCCGCCTGCAAGGAGGCGAGGAGGAAGCCCCGTAGAACCCAGCTGAAAGGAGAAGGTGGGGCGCGTCCTCCCTGCGCCCGAAGGCAGTTAGACCCTCGCGTTGTCGCGAGGTGGGGGACGGGGGACGGTTCAAGGGCTCGGGAAGGCGGAGGACCACCGGAGTGGGAGACCGGTGGGGGGACGGCCACAGCAGTGAGTGGAGCTGCGGCCGGCCAGCGCCCGTGGGGCGGGGCTCCGCGCGTCGCCGCCTCCCTCCTGAACAGCTGATGCGGACTCGGGACGCCCGCCCTCCCGCCTTCAGTGCTCGCTCCACCAGACTCAAAGGCAAAACCAGCGCCGCCCCAGCGGGCCGGCAGACCCCGGCAAACGCCTCCAGGGAGCGCGTGGGGTGTGCTGGTGGTTTTGTGTCGCCCCGAAGCCCTCACTGGCGGCATCGGCCAACGCCCCGTTCGCCCTGCGCGAGCTAACGTTACCCCAGGGCTGGTGGGCAGTTCACAGCCTGGTGCGGGGGTTGGAGGCTGTAAAATATGTTAGGTGTTGACAACTAGGCTTGAAAGGAGAGATTGAGGGGGAGAATTCAGCTGTCCCTTCAAACAACCCTCAACGTGTATTTGTGACTTGGCCCGTCGGTGTTGTGCTTGGTGCCGCAGCGTTTCTCAGCTGCTCTGGACAGCTCCCGGTGTGAGACTGCCGGGCGGGCTGCTCGGCTTCCCGGTCCTGGGGCTCTGACTGGCCCTGCTGTTCACAGGGCGCGGGCGCGGGCGCGGGCGCAGCTTGCGGCCCGGGCTTAGAAATAGTAGGATCGCTGCACAGCCAACTGCCCAACAGTTGGGAGCACCAACTGCTAACTGCCTAAAGAAAGGGTCTCATGTTAGCTCCATCGTGGCTACTGGTAAGCCGCTTTGAAAACATGACCTCTCTACTCACACTGGGGTGCAAAAAATGTCCTTTAAAAAAAAAAAATTATACACAATCATACATACAATTACTGCCTGTGTCCCTTAACATTTAGCATGTAGGCCTGCCAAAGCTACACTATTGGTTTTTAAAGACGATTTAATTCAGTAAAGCTCCTGTTGAATGATATTCTGATAGTAAGTTTTCATTAAGGGATTCAATACACTTACATTCTCAAAGGCTTTGCTTTGTCCAATCCAGATTTATTTTTTTTCTTGACTTTTGGGATGATGATATGTGCTTTTGTTATTATTTAATTTTAATTTTTTTTAAATTCTCACCCGAGGATATGTTTTTATTGACTTGAGAGAAAGAGGAATGAGAGGGGGAGAGACCGTGATCACAAGATGTGCTTTTAAATATTCAGCATTTTGCTTTTAAATATTCAACACATTAGTTGCTTTTTATTAGAGATTGGCCCCTGTATAATTGCTGTAGCTAAACTGCCACTTTACCCCATGAAACTCATTATCTACTGTAGGGATGTTGTTGAGGACATGGTTCATTATATCACACACCGTTTTCTATATGAGGACCCATAGGAGAAATTTCTCCTGGGTCTCAGTGTCCAGAATAGCTGGGATTCTCCTAAGCAACTGATTAATCTCAGGAAACCTGAATCATTTAACCGTTTTCTGTTTTGTAATGGCGGCTTGGTAGCTAAGGGACTAATTTGATACTCCTTGTATTGAAATACTAACTTTACCTGTAGTTTCATCCTGTTTTTCCTACCACAATTTTTCCTTTATGTGTATTTGTAAGCTTTCTTAAATCACTTGAAACAATAACACACACACACTGGCAACCTGTGCAACTCTAACTACAGGTTATGCGATGCCATATCCTTGGGACCACTTAAAACCCAGAAAGGTGGGAGAAGGGGGAGAGAGCACTAGGATAGAGGTTAAGGGAGGGTAGAGAAGAGGCGGGTGTGGTGGTGAGTAGTGTACCACCACATGTAACATACCCATTCTGTTTTAAAAAATTAAAGCTAAAAAATGTATACTTAAATATGATCAATGTGCCCGGGGATATATTTAGAAAAAAAGGGGGGGGATGTGTTTTGTCCTGGCCAGGTGGCTCAGTTGGAGTGTCACCCCATACACCAAAAAGGTTGCGAGTTAACTCCCAGTCAGGGCACATACCTAGGTTGCAGGTTCAATCCTCAGTTGGGACGAGTATGGGAGGCAACTGATCGATGTTTCTCTTTTACATCTTTTCTCTCTCTCCCGCCCCCCCTTCTCTAAAAATCAATAAAACATCCTCAGATGAGGATTTTTTTAAAGAGACAGTTTCTTGTAGAAACCCTGTTTTGTAGCTATTTCATGAATATTCATAAGAGCCAGTGCCCATGTGGTTTGGGAGAATGTCTGGACACATAAATGAGCTTAATATATTTTTCTTGAAATTTTCTTGCACAAAATATTTATTGAATTTTACAGAAACAGGTGTTTCCTAAGATTGGTTTTTTGTTTTTAAGTATCATTCTGGAGTTCAGGGCTTTTCCCATGAATTTCTATAAATAGTACTAGATTGCTCACCTGCACACATAAAAAGCTATTGGTAACATGATTTTTTAAAAACTGCCACCAAGAATTAGCCCATTTTGCTAGAATATCGAGAGATTAGAACTAAGGCTAATAATTTTAATGGAGATGGATTTGTTCTTAGAAACTGTAGTTAACTCATGAGAAATATTTTAAGAAGAACTAATAAACTATAAGACTTTGTTTTTCTTCATTGTAGTTGAGATTACAGACATCCTGCCAAAATGTTTTCTTCAAAGCCCAGACTTGTCGTACCCTATGGCCTCAAGACTCTGCTTGAGGGAGTTAGCAGAGCCGTTCTCAAAACCAATCCGCAGAACATCACCCAGTTTGCAGCATTTTACTTTAAAGAACTTATTCTGTTTAGAGAAGGTTTGTTATTGCTTTAGATTATATATTTGTTGCCGTGGAAAAGCTGGGAAATTTTTGTATCTGATTTCTTGTATTTATTCCTTCAGGGAATGTTCCTCTGGATATAAAAGATCTGGTTAAACAGTTTCATCAGATTAAAGGTAAGTACACTTTCTTGGATCCTCCTCATTTACCTGCATTTTGATTAAGCAGATCTCATAGGAATCTACCATAGGAATCAATAAAAGCTCCCCCATTCCTCAGTCTTCTCGGGAGAGTAGCTAATAAAAATGAATCATTGAGAGGATTTTAGAAACTCAGGCAATATTTTTAGGCAAAAGAGTTGTCTAAGTTCCACTGCTTAGTATATGCTAGGAAAAGAAGGAAGAAGGGAATGGAACTTACTGAGTACTTGTTTTGTCCTAGCCACTTACAATATATTTTGTCACTTAAGACAACTTTATAAGGTAGGAGACGACATTGCAATTTTACTCGAGAAATCTGATGCTCAGGAGTGATTGAATAAGTTGTAAGCTTCTCAATAGTAACTGGTAGAGTTAGAATCTAAACTTATCTTCCTAGTAGCATGGCTCATGCTCTTTCCACAGTAGAGTAACATTCTAGGATCCCTCTGGAAAAACCTTAAGTTCTTGAACAGAGTGAAGGGAGAGGAATTTCAGCTTCCTTTCCTCATGTTCTCTCCCACTGTTTCACATCTTCCTTCCTGTCACCTTCTCACTTGGAACCTGAAGCCCAGATTGGGCAAGTTCTGATCTCTCACCGCTCAGTGAAGAGGGTTGTGGTTTCTCCTTCAGAGTGGGCAATGGGATCTCAGTACCACAATCACCTTCCATTCTCCTAAGCCCGAGTCCAGTTTCCAGTGTCAGTCCTGTCTTGGCTTCCAACAGAGACAGGAAATAACCACCTCTTTTGAAGAATCAAGGCCTGCCCACCTGAATCACTGAGTTACACTGTTAACATCTCTACCTGGGGGCCATATAATAGTCATGAACTGCTGCTGATCATTGGGCCTAATTTCAATTCCTTTGCAGCACCAGCGCAGTTATGCACATCATTAAATATTGTCTTGAGTATTCATATTAAATATTCATAGTTTTTAGTTTCTTATGCAAATTCTATTTTTATGTGTTATTTTTAGTTTGTTACACATACTTATGGCTATCCCCTTTTTAAACAAACAAGGAATATATCTATTTCTGGACTAAGTTCTGTGAAGCTGTGCTGCTACTCTGTACTTTCCAGGGCATTTTCTTTAAGTAAGGCTATACTGATTCCCTAAACAGGGACAAGTATTGTGCCAAAATCACCCTAGTCAAGGTGGTTAACAATTTCATTACCATGGAGGAATTTCATTAAGTTTAAAAAAGATTTGAATGATTATCTGGTGATGATGTTGGGAGGGGGGGCTTGGGTCCTTCATGCTTTTCATTCTGGTAAGATTAGTCAGTTGAGGAATAGTCCACACTAAGAAAGGCAAGTGAATCATTGAGCAATGGTATAGTCAAGAATTGGGGTCAGATTGTCAGACTAGGGACAGAAACACAGGATCAGGATTAAGAGAGGAGGGAGTGGGAAGCAGATAAGGCAAACCAGGAAAGCTAGATCAAGAAACCAGGCTGCCAAGATAAGGTGAGGAACACTAAGAGACAATACGTGAAGGAAGACCATTTGGGCCTTCTAAGTTATCACTCTGCTATTCAGAAACTTTGATAGTTCCCTGTTGTTCACAAAATCCGAACTCTTCATTGTTGTAGGGATACTTTTGAAAAATATTAAACTAATGTGCACTGATTTCAGATAACCTCTAATTATTCCTATTCTGTTGATCTCTACCCATTGAAACATTCCAAGGTTCATAGTAAGGAAGCTAAAACTTTGGAGTTTTGCAGGAGCCTGTTTTTATTGAGAGAATATTTCCTTGGAATTTTCAGAGCTGAATTTTTATTTAAGAGCTAAACCTACCAGAACCAAGTTTTTATTTTATATAAGCCACTGAGGGAGGGGGAAGAAAGATAGGATATAAAGTCATTTCCTGCTGCAAAGGAAAGGGAAATGGAAGGTCCTTCTTGGCAATGGGATTGCGGTGCTGGGGTGTGGGTAGTGCATGCACAATGCTAGCTGAGACTGAAATGGGATAGGGAAGGTAGGTAGACTCTTATGGAATTTCGTAAATCCTGAGTAGGTTTGTTCTTTATTGGGTACTGTCTAGAACCGTGCATGCGTCTCAGAGAAGCTGTGTGGTTAGCATGACACTGCTTTATGACATATGCTATATTCAGCACCTACACTGTAATCATCATGATCAGACATTCAGTAATTATTTTGTTTACTGAAATATCTTTCTCAGATAGGCCTGAAATATTTCTGGTTTCCTGTGGCCTGGGTGCGGCTCTTACTGGGTCCAGGTGTTTAGATTGTCCCAGACTGCTGACTAGTGAAGAATCAGGATGGGAGAATGAAGTTATTCAGCCCACTGGCAGAGAGCTGTAGCACACAGTACCCAAGCTGGGAACAAAATAAAAATTCGCCTCAGATGCTAAAAAGGACAAAATTAAGAAAATCTCCTAGTCCTTGAGTGAAATAAACAAACAGGCCATACTTCCCACAAAGTAGAAACACTTGAGTAGTAAATACAGTGGAGTCAGAAACCAACACCCAGAGCCCACGTAGTATGAGTTATGCCTCTACCAGAGATAACTGAGAGCCAGCAGGAACGGACAACATGTGGATCTGAGCCAGGGCTTACTCCACCATTCAGAGTCCCTCTTTAGAAGGAGAACCTTTAATAAAAGAGAAATGCCACAAAAGACTGAGTAATTAACCAAACTAGACTTTTATACTAGAAGAGAGAAATATTTTTAAGGTTAACTTTGCCATTGGGAAATGAGCATTTTAATGCAAACTTAGGTCAGCTAGAGAAGATAAAGTAATGCTTTCTGACACATGTATCACAGTATATAAATTTTTATCCCTTTAAAGACCATGGCATACAAAGCTTTCTATGATTTGAATTTATCCTACCTTTGCCTTCATCTCTCATATCTTCATAGACCCTCATGCACCAGACTTGATTTCTTAACAGAAACCATAGAAGCCAAAGACAATGGAATGACATCTCTAAAGTACTGAAAGCAAAAAACAGCCAACCTATAATGAATATATATACCCAGTGAATACATTACTTAAAAAAGAAAGCAAAATAAAGACATTTTCACACAGACAAAAGCTGAGGAAATCCAATGCCACCAGATCTGCTTTACAAGCAAAACTTTTTTTAAAGTTTATAAGCAAACAAGGAATAAATGGGAGCTTCCTAAAACTGGTAATGTGTATGTATAAAAAATTTACAGCTAATGTACTCAGTGGTGAATTTTGAATACTTGTGAGATTGAAACCAGGACAGAAATGTCTAATATCACCATTTCTAGACAGCATTGTACTGCAGGTTCTAATCAGTGCAATAAGGCAAACAGAAACAAAAGGAAAAAGGTATGTGGAAAGGAAGAACTAAAACTACTTTTTCACAGATGACGAGTGTAATAGAAATTCACAAGAATCATCTTGATAACTAGCCTCATACAACAGCGGAGGGGGTGTATGGGACACAGCCCAGATGCTTATGGATAGTACATTTAAAAAAAAGTACTGATGTATTATCTAGTTGTCCTAACTCTTAAGATAATGAATTCAACAAATACCCAATGAGAAAATGGGCACTATAGATTTTCATTTCTTCTCTAGTACCCATTTATGGTTATCTAAATGGGTACTATAGAAGACTATTAGGGAGATGCTTTCCCAAGTAAGAAGATATGAGAATAAGTTACAACTAAGGTGTTTACACAGGTGTGTAGGTGACAAGCAGAAAATGATTTCAGTTTTCCAGCTCTAGGAATTCTATGTCATCAGCTGTCTTGACCTTCCAAGGAATTTTCCTCATGTCTGAGGATTCACTGAGTCCACACTTATAGATCAGAAATCTCTTCTCTGCTCCTTTTTGTCTGGATCAGTAGGACTTCGGCTGCATTGTCCCACCTCACCAGCAGGTGCTACGATTTTTAGGTTGGAATATATGATGATTCCTAATATAAAAACATCTTATAATCCTAGTTTTCCAATTCATTAAACTTCAGACACCAATTTCCTTAAATTGAGGAATGCGTTTAATAACATGACAGTGTTTGTTTCATTACTGTTAAACCAGCTGAAGCTGTTTACTGGCCAGGTTGAAGCCGCCCCCCCCAAGTGTGTGTGGAAGTTTGGATCAGCAGCTTTTTCCCTGAAGGTTTTCAGCTTCCTTATTTCTAGGCAGAGTTAGGGTCTTTCCTTTGATGCTGACCAGTTGAAAGTGGTATCTGATTAGTTTTGTTACTGTGCTACTTGGAGTCACATACTTTAAAAAAAAAGACACCTCCCTCACTTCATCTCCTTAGAAATAAATCTTTATTTCAGAGAGAGGAAGGGAGAGGGAGAGACATCAATGAGAGAGTGGTCATTAATCTGCTGCCTCTTCCACACCCTCAACCGGGAATCGAACCATGATCTCCTGGATCCTAGATCAATGCTCAACTGCTGAGCCATACCTGGCTGGGCAAGGGAGGTGTCTGTAAAGTGGGTAGGGCAGGAAAGTTTCATTACTTTCCACATAAAATCATAGATGTTATAAAATAAAGCAAAACTTTTGTACTTGTGTATATAGTACTGATATATGAATGTTTAACCTACTGCTGCTTTCTTTAAAATTCTCCATTTGGGGAAAATGTTTATTAATCACCTGGCTGTTATTTTAGTTGAGAAATGGTCAGAAACGACACAGGAGAAGAAACCAGAATATGCAAAAGAACCAAGAGGAATACCTACAGTTTCCAAAGAACCTACACGGATGGAAAAATCTACAGACACAGAGGAGGACAATATATCTGTTGGACCACTAGTTAGCAACAAAACCACTCAGTTCCCATCAGTTTATGCTGAGAAGCCCCCAGAGCCTGAGGAGACAACTAAAGCAGTTCGTGGTCCTTCAAAACCGTCCACACCTAAGACTGCTACCCCACCCTCATCACCAGCTCCAGCAGATGTCTCACCAGAATTTGCCTATGTCCAGGCTGACCCAGCTCAGTTTGCTGCCCAGATGTTAGGTAACGTTTCATCTATTCATTCTGATCAGTCTGACGTTTTAATGGTGGATGTGGCAACAAGTATGCCTGTTCTTTCCAACGAGGTGCTGAGTTCAGAGGCTGCTGAAGATAATGAGGTGGCTGCTTCTGTTGTGTATTCTGGAGAGGGGTTAGCGGTGCAGGTTGTGAGCCACACATCTGTCCATGTAGATTTGGGTTCTAAACCTAAAGACGTTAAGGCTGAACCATCAACGGCTTCCTTACTCCCCTTGCAGGATGAACAAGAACCTCCTGCTTGTGATCAAGCTCCTAAGGTCTCTGGGCAGGCTGGTACTGGGGTTACCTCAACCATCCGTGTATCATCTATTTATAACGATGAGCCTGTGATTGAAGGAATTACTTGTGTGGAGCAAACACCAGAACAAATAGTTACCCCTTTCACTGATAACACTGCTAGTCTTAAAGAGACTGAGCCCTCGCAGGCTGGTACTGGGGTTACCTCAACCATCTCTGTGTCATCTGTCTATAACGATGAGCCTGTGATGGAACGAATTACTTGTGCGGAGCAAACACTAGTCTTAAAGACTGCTAGTCCTAAAGAGATTGAGCCATCACCACCAGTTAGTCCCATACCTCTAAGCAAGATAGCCTCAGACATGTCTGCAAAATCTGTAGATTCTGCAAAATATCCCACAGTACATATGGAGGCAGAAGCAACCATTCTGATCTCTGACACCTCTCTGAGAGGTCTGCTTGCACAATCCCAGAATGCAGAGGGCTCTACCAAAGCAGTAGGCTCTGAAAAATCTCTGCACCTTGAAGTGGAGATCATTGCGCTAGTCCCGGGGCAGGAGGAAAACTCTGCACCCCAGGAGATGGAGGTCAAACCTGTGGTCTCTGGGGAGGCTGCAAAAGCTGTGTACTCAGGTGCACCTGTAGGATCATCTAGTGGCCCCCCCAGTCCTGTTCCAGAAGGTCTTACTGAACCAGAAATCGAACCAGAAGGGAAAGCAGCACCTGAACAAGGTTTGAATGAACCAGGTAAGAAAATTAGATACTTATGAAATTAAAAATTACGTTAAATTACGTTTCAGGTGACATCTATTTCAGGAAACCATCTAGGAAGGCTCCCTGCAGATTGGTCAAAAGTCTTTATTTTTAATAGTTTTTAAAATGCCAAACCTATTTAAAGGCTTTGCTGTATTTGAGATTTTACTCTTATGAGTGGTTTTGAAGTGACATCCAAACTCGGCCTCAGAGTTTGGTCATCCGACACTTGCACATTATGTTTTTCACTACATACGTTCAAAAGAATGAGAGCCTGTTGTCAGGTACGGATACACAGTCACGTGATCTGAACACTCCTCTTGCAAGACTAATTTAGGAGGTGTTGGAAATTTCTCACTTGTGAATGTAAAACCAAACTACAGCAGTGCATTTACATAGGCTGTGGCATTTTAAAAGTGAAAGAAATGGTGGTGTGTTTGACTCTGCTTTCGCACTGAGTCAGGAGAGGTCTGCAACCAGGTTTGGGGAGCTGGGTCAAGCACTGACTTATCCTTGCCTGCAAGCTTCCTGCAGTGGAGGGAGCAGTTTTATAGCCAGATGGCGAGAAGACAGGTCAGATCGAAGTTCTGTCACAGGGGAGCAGGAGCAGAAAGGATAGGCGGCACTTGAGCAATAATGGACACAGCTGAGATGACTGGCTTCTGTTTCCTCACAAGTGCCCACATCAAGCTGCTTTCAACTATCGCCATTGCTTTCCTGTGACACAGACACGATTTGACCTCCATCTCCATCTGATGAAGCCATTTGATCTGCCCACCCTGCTGCCCCATCTGGACAAGTTCAGGAGCCCTTGTCCCTTTAGGGATAGATGGGACATGCATGAGCCAACCTTTCCCATTCCTTTTGCAGAATCTCTCAACTTTGACTCTTACCAGAGCCAGAATAAATGTTTACAAAGCAGGTGGTTAGAGATCAAATTCTGTCTGGCAGTGTAATGGGGATTCTGCACAGCTGAAAGGCAGAGGCGGGAGCTGGGAGTGGAGTGCGTGGAACCGGTACCACACTGTGGCGCAAGCAGCACTTCCAGACCCAGTTACTGCTCTCAGGTGTCCAACTATTTCTCAAGTGAGCGCTACGAGGTTATTTAACAACACTGAAGACTTGGCTTACGCATATTTTTAAATGAGCGAGAAATAGTTCAAGTATCTGAAGCTATTGAAAACACACCAGCTTAATCATGTGCATAGTGGTGGTATTTTCTCTTCTGGGGAAGAAAAGCTGCACCAAGGACTGATGGCCCAGTGGTCACAGGTGAACCTCGCACACCTGGGCACTGCAACAACTCCATAAGGAACCTGTTGTCCTCTACCCCACCACCCCACCTTCTAGGACTCAGTGCTCCAAGACAGTACTGTCTGCATTAGGCAAATCAAACTTGACATTATTGTGTCCTTGCTGAAGTAGATGCATGGCACGCCTAGACCTCTCTTTTCTTACAGAACCCCTGTGGGACCAACCAGCCTTGTACTGCCACCTAGGACCTATGATTTCGAGCCTTGCTTGAAAAGGGTGCTTTCTGGGGTTCTGAGTCCTAGATAGTGTGGTGACAAATTAGTGGGAGATAATGGGGCCTGTGAAGAGCCAGATATTTGATTACCAAAAGATGATACCTAGTGCAGACTTCCTTAGTAAAGGAAAAATCACTATGCAGATGCATTAACCCTTTTTTCAAGTACCTATAAATAGCAACTTAGAATGAGATTGCTTCTTTTGCCGCAATTCGTGTCCCTGCCGCATGCTGTCTCCAACTGTAGAGAATCTCTCCTTTCACATTGCCAAACACAATTTACTCAGCCCTCTCTATAGCATGCTTTATGGCACATATTACTACAGCTGTTTATATGTGAAAAAATTTACAAAGATATTTCTGTGCATAGCGCCTGATACAGAGACCAAACCTTTAATGCCTGCAAATTTTTTTTTTATAGCAATAGCAACAAGCGAAGCAGGACAACCACCACCATATTCTAACACGTGGACCCTTTACTGTCTAACTGATATGAATCAACAAAGTCGCCCATCACCGCCACCTGCACCTGGGCCTTTCCCCCAAGCAACCCTCTATTTATCTAATCCTAAGGATCTGCAGAATCCACCGAAAGTTACTTCTCCAACTTATGTGATGATGGACGACAGCAAGAAGACCAGTGCCCCACCTTTTATTTTAGTAGGCTCAAATGTTCAGGAAGTGCAGGATTGGAAACCTCTTCCTGGACATGCTGTTGTTTCCCAGTCAGATACCTTGAAGAGATATGCTGCAGTCCAAGTACCCATTGCTGTTCCTGCAGATCAGAAATTCCAGATACACTCCCGAAACTCCCAGAATGCTAGTCCTCCTACAAGTGGACAAGATGGCCCCAGGCCACAAAGCCCAGTTTTCCTTTCTGTTGCCTTCCCAGTAGAAGATTTAGCCAAAACATGTTCAGGATCTGGTGACAAACGTACTCCCTTTGGAAGTTATGGTATTGCTGGAGAAATAACCCTGACTACTGCCAATGTTCGCAGAGCAGAAACTTAAAACTGGCAGGTAAAATTTCCCACCATATGTGGACCTTAACACACTTGAGTTTTCAGCATTCTGATTTGTTGACCTGGAGACATATTTTTAAAAATTGCAGTGAGTTGGAGTATACTCTAATTTGATGAGATTATCTCCAGCTTCCTTGCCACCAATTACTAATCGATGCACAACAGTGCACTCCGCCATAATGACCCACACTGGGGATTTGGAGTCTAATACATGAACCGATCAACCCCATCACCTCTGCCTGTGTAGCTCCTGTGGAAGATGCTATAAAAGGGGATGGATTTTTTTTTTTTTTTAAAAGGACAGTCTTATGTGGGAATTTAGTTTGGCATGTTTAAGGGGTAGGGAGGAGCAGAGATAAGCCATAAGAGCTGGGAACAACCACAGAGCAAGGAACAAGAGGAGATTACATAGGGAATACAGTCAGCGTAGTAAGTTTGTTCCCTCTTAAGAGTGACTAGAGCTTGGAAACACATTCAAGAGCTAAAGAAACTGTGGAACTAGCATTAAGTGCTAGCCCCTCCTCCCCCGTGTATAGTAAAGTGAGTAAAACATGGAACCTGCTACACCTTAGTGGAGGACAGCAACAAGTAAACTGCGATGTGTTAAGTACTGTGAAAAAACAAGGTACTGATACAGGCCTCCTGCACTAGGCTCAGATAGGAATGGATACCTGGTATGAGAAGGACCAGCCTTGTGGAGTCCACAGATCCTAGGGCAGGAAAGAGCATGGGAGTTTCGACACTGCAAGTAGGCCAAAAAGACGGGGACAGGGTCCATAAGCAGCAGCATAATTCAGGGACTCTGCATCCCAAGGAGAGAGATTTGGATTGAATGAGAAACCAGGACAGTGACATCGTGCTGGCTGCTAGGTGGGAAAGGATTACAGACCAGGAGGAGGTCATCAGAAGCAGGGAGACAAGTGTACAATGCAGGTGTTATACCTACACACCAATGAGTTCAGTTAAAACGGTCTGGGAGTTTCAAGTTGAACATCTGATGAACAAAAGCTAGATTTCATTCACAGGCAGGTTCAAGCACTACAGTTACTATATTTAAGGTGATAATTCTTATCAATCTTAAAATTATGTACATTTCTTATCTCAGTTTTAGACTTTTCGTGGAATTGTCAAATTCCACTAAAAGGAAATGCTAGGATATTTTAGTGCAAATGCATAGGTAACTGATTGATTAGGTTAAGAGCTTACAGAGCAGGAGGGTATAACTAGAGTTTTTGATCTTCTCATTTCACATGTTCAGTTTCACGATTAAACAACTTACTACCTTCATTATTCCTAACAGATGCTGAAAATGAGGCTGTCTGAGTCGACATTCAAGGTGGAGTCCGCCACCAAGTGTAATTTATCAATAAACTTCATGTGAGCATAAAACCTTGTATTCTTATTTTTTTAATTTAGGAGGTATACAAACAACTGCACACAAAAGGCATTAAATTTTTTCAGACTTGTGACACTAGCATTTTCCAACTCATGTACACATTGGAAGAAAAAAAAAAAAAATTCTCACCAGCTTTTTTTTCTAGCCATTAGATAATTCTGTAGTTGGCATTCNTAAGAAAAAAAAAATTCTCACCAGCTTTTTTTTCTAGCCATTAGATAATTCTGTAGTTGGCATTCCACACCAAATGAAGAGTAGCACCTCGCTATAATACTGAATATTTGCTGCCTACTTACCTCTATGCGTGCTAGGCATGCTAGGCAACTGATTGTCTCTGGCCCTGGGGTCTGCAGCACCACAGTTGTTCTTTGTAAGGACACTCTTGATAATTTAGGATAGCATCAAGTGACAACGTTAACACATTGGAAAGTTTAAAAGAAATCAAAGTTTTTGAAGATTCTAAATCCTTTATTATTTAGCATCAGGTAGATTATTTCATTATAACACTTGTTAACTTCAAGACAGCAATTAAAATAATTTACTGGCAGCTACCTAAGGCCCCTTGGAGCAGTATCTCAGTCTGGGGTTGGGTGGATAAATACCATAAGATTAATGTACCCCAATTAAAGGGGCAAAGCTACTGTACAGTAGGTCTCCATACATATTTTAAGTACACAGGGGCCTTGCAAACTTGAAATGCACAAGACCTCCTGTTATATAGTTTGATACTTATAATACATGAGTGCAACTTAATCTCTGGTGGCACTGGCCACGTAGTTGAAGCATTTAAAAAGGTTTGCCATTATGTAATAATGGTGATTAAAATCTATTTCTAGGGCATTTTTGAGAATTGCTAGACTTTATACATATTTTCAATTTGAACACGTACAATTAAACACTTAATTCTAATGACTGATTACAGAATTGTAAAAGTAAATTCAGGGCACTAAAATAAGCAAATGAAATACCTTTTCAGTTCAATTCTTTAGAATTTTCAAGTCAAGAATACCTATTCTAACTATTCAGGCATTTTTTTCTTTTTTGGAGGTAGGGGGAAAATTGAGTGGATTAGTTAGAAAAGCCATCTTATCAATGAAGTCTTTACAAAATGACATAACCTTCTCTGCATTTGAGCACATAAACATTGTATAGGAGAGTTCTAAACATTTGAGAGTTACATCTAAAACATTCAAGCATGACAGCATAAAATATTCAAAATAACTCGATTTGGGATTATATATAATTTCATAAAGCTAAAGTTACGTTTAGGTATAAACCTTCAGTAAATATGGCAACAGCAGCCGTACAAAGCATATTCTCCAGCAGTTTCTCTGACCTTTGTATAAAATAGTATTCCAAATAAGTATGTTTGGATAGCAAAATTATCATTTTCTGTAAGACTTTCATCACCAATATCACTTTATGCCCTATTTTTGTTGGATGAAATGCAAGTTATGAGCAGGTTTTTTCTTTTTTTTAAAGATGAATAGAAACCAAAGAAAAACATTTAAAAACACAGGTTTAAGACTTATTTGTAGATTAGCCAAATGCCTGACTTGTCTGTATTTTAATAAATGTCAGGCAAATTACAGTAGTTTCTGTCCCAGTAGCTGCCGGAGTAAAGCCAGTCCTGTGCTCCGTTGTGGGGATTAGGACCTTGGTGGAACCACCTGTTGAAAGGAGAGAGACAAGATTTACAGGGGAAACTGAAATCACGGTACCTGCTGCTTCACTAGCCTGCAGTATTTCTCTACTGCAGCAATTCGGTCTGTGAGTTAGGGATTTCCAAAGAGAGTGAAGTTACAGTTTTCCCTTTAGAGAGCATATATGTGGAATACCGATCCTAATCCTGTAATGACACCACACAAAAGGTTTACAGATTTTCCACAGCATATAGCAGTGCTACTTAACAGAACTGGGATCTGTCTAGTAGGGTTGTTAGAACCAATATTTTTGTCTTACTATTCAACCTCTACCCCCATTCCTTATCTTCCACTAGAAGTCATTCTTTTAGAAGCAATTAGACATAAGGAATGGGATAAAAGTACTTTCACAACATACCTACAGTAATGTTTCTGCCCACTTCAGAGTAAATGCCCTACCCCCAAACCCTTAAAGCTCCGTTTTACAAAAGACCCAAATGTTAAGAAGTTGAATAACTTGTCCAAGATAATCATTGATATCAAACTTGAGTTTGATTTTAAAGGCCATGATTTTTTGAACATATTATGCTATACATAATCCACTGAAATTAGTCCAGATCTTCCTGGATCTCGATTTTCTCCACGCTAATATGGATTCTTAGGTTACAGCCTAGCTTTTAACATCCTAACCTGTCTTAACTATCTAATTCTAGAAAGAGCTGCTCTAGTCATTTTCTTGCCCTTTAGAAAATGTGTGACCCATTTCCCACAGTCCCAGCTTTCTTTAGGTAATAGAAATGCAAACCCATCTGCCCAAAAGGTTAACAATTAAATTTGTGTAACATTTTCTAAATATGATTTCATCTTCAGAGTAACATTTATGAAAATAGTCTAAATGTCTTTGCCATTCTTTCCAAATAAATCGCTTCTAAAAATATTTAGCAATTAAGAGTGAGGTTAGATTCGTTTGCTAAGTCCTAAATGTTGACATTACCACAGAAGCACTAACAACCCTAAAAGGGAAAAAATCTTCAGACTAGGCCAATTCCTTGAAGGATCATATGGTAAATGCCTATTAGACCAAATTTTCTAGAAAAATATTATAAAAATTATTTAGCTTCTGGCACTTTTCCCTAATTAAAAAATGTAAAAGCCACCTTTAGATTATAATATATTATTAATATAATACCTATTATTCTGACTCTAAGCTAGATATACATTAAGGGACCATTCTTTGATCAGACTCAGAATTTTTGTCTAGTATGAAGTATATAGTTATACTCTTTTGGGTCTCAAAAATCTAAGCAGAAGCACTTCTGTAGTCAGGCCTAGCAAAGTCAAGCACTTCAGAAAAGCGGCAGGTCAAAATCTGGGTAACCAAACATAACTTCAAAAATGTACCGCGCTCTGCAGTCCATCACGTCTCACAGCCCCGCCCGCCCCCGCGCCGCCGCCCGCGGGCTCGGCCGCAGGTCTGAACCACCACACACCTCGTCTTCCAGTCCTCCTCCGACTTGGACCTGTTTTTGCGGGCTGCTCTTTGTTTTTCTTCAAGTCGTTTTTTTTCTTCACTGGCTTGATCTAAAATAAGAACACCAATGGAAAACAGTTATTGTATAGTAGAGAACGCCAGGAACAGTAATAAGCATAACTTTGTGGAGAAGTGCCATCCACATGTATTAGCACGATCTCCATTTCACCAGGACACAATCACCATAGTCAGACATCAAGTTAAAACTTTAACACACGCCTAAGTTAGTAGGAGGCAGAGCTGGCAGTCAAGACCCAATCTCTTTCTACAGTCTATGGCCTTAATAACATCTGCATTTACCAAAAAGAACCTGCTTGTTCTTAAGGCCAAAAGAATGATGTTATTAAAATGCTTTGATGAAAAATTGGGCAGAGAAACTGAATAAATGTGAATTTTTCTAAATTCTTACTGAGGACTCACAGAGCTCTGTCAGATTCCATTCATAAGAAATTCAAGCAATTTCCCAAAATACTGTTGCACTCTCACTGACAACTCACAGAGAGAGCATCAATGTTTACTTAGAACAGGGTTTGCCATCGTTGGCACCGCTGAAACTGGGCCAGATGATTATTTGGGGGGCAGGGGGGCTGCCCTGCACACTGCACTGTAGGACGTTGAATGCATCCCAGGCCTCTACCCACTACATGCCAGTAGTAGTTTCCAGATGTGACAACCGAAGTCTCCAGACATTGCCATGGGGAAAAAATGCCCCCCCCTTTTGAGAACCCCTGAATTGGAGAAAATTTAACACAAGATAAAAAAAAAGTTTTAATTAATCAAGGGGAGGCAAAGCTCTTTGAGGCTTAACAGGTGATATTTAATTCTAAAATATATAATAAAATAATTAGAATATATTTCAAAGTTAATAAAGATGTTATCATTTTTTTCAACTTCCTCTCTGACATTTAAGATGTTTTTGGTTAGAACAGACTGATTGTTGCCAGAGGGGAGGGGATCTGGGGTGGTGGGTGGTGGGTGGAAAAGGTGACGGGATTAGGAAGTACAAATTGGCCGTCACAGAACATTCACGGGGATGTAGAGCACAGCACAGGGCATACAGTCACTGATACTGTAATATCTATGTATGGTGTCAGATGGGTGCCAGACTTATGGAAGGGATCACTGTAAGTTATATAAATATCTAACCACCATACTGTACACCTGAAACTAACATAATATTGAATGTCGAATGTAACTGAAAAATACAAAAAAATACCAAAAAAATATATATACCTCTGGTTACATGCCATATATTCAATTCTCAGGAGTATCACTGAAATAATGAATATGAGCTAATAAAGTCTACCTCATATTTCCAAATTTAAAACAAAAGTTATCAAATGTAATCAAATTTTAATTTAAAAATTTCTAAGACAGCCTGCTTTCAAGGGCTATGGCTGGCTGTAGCCATGGGGTCTCCAGCTCAGGCCGCATGATTCTGCAGCTGCCACTAGCCTTTCCTATAACACATAATAAAAAAATTTCTGAGAGAGACTAAAAATGCTTGTACTCCAATGATGCTAACAATCAATCACCAGGACTAAAACAAACATTATCCCCAAATAAATTATTCACAGTAGCACCGTCAGATGCTAGTTACCAATTTCTCCGTTTTCCATGGCTCTAATGTCAGGCCGTAACCTGCAGTCTGTCTTAGGAATCACACTCTCCATTTCCTTGTCTACTTCATTCAAAACCATGGCGAAGCTAGTAAAATTGTACATCTGAAAAAAGAAGCACAGTGTTCACGTTAACATGCACCAAGGCGCACGCAAAAGGAAAACCCCTGAAGGGAGAAGAGCCTGATCTGACGACAAACCGCCCGTTTTAGGGCCATGACGGCCAGCCTCTCTCAGACCCCGCATCTAAATGTCTTCACTGAAGCCTGGACCGCGTATGGGTCCCGGGCTCAAAGGAACCTTGCAGCGGGCCTCACAGAATGAGCTTCCAGATCACTGTCAGCTGTAAGCAATCTCTCAGCAGAAGGACCATTCTTGCTACAGCACCTTCTTCACTAAAATCACTCCTTGCTGGATCTGGGAGGCTTATGCTGAAGAGGCCACATCGCCTTGCACTTGGTGAGAGCCAGCATTACTCCTAATTACTAAACAAGCCCCCAAAGTGCCACCCCGACGCACGCTCCGCGGCCGGGCACGGGGGGGTGCACAGCGCAAGCGCCCCCACTCTCGGGGGAGAAGGGAAACTGCACCCAGGGGCCGGCGGAGGGGCAGCTGAGGGCACCGCAGGGACGCCCCGCGGGCCGGGCCCCCTCACCTGCGCAGAGTTGGGGGGCCGCGGGGCTATCCGCCACAGGAGGGCGCTGCCGGGGATGACCAGCACGCTTTCCGAATCGGGCACGGGCATTTCGTCCGACTCCTCAGAGGTGCTCATCTGCAAGGGCAGGTGGACACGATGAAAACGTTTTAAAAAGAACAAGCCTGCGACTTGGAAAGTTGTCGCCTCGTCTACGGCGCACCGCTAGGCTGTGCCTGTCGCATCCCCCCCACCCCCGCCCTTTAACAAGTGCAAGTGCAAAAGGGGGGGGAATGGGAATAGTGTCAACAATAAACATAAAGTTAAAAAAAGTATGTTAGGCTAAAGAGGAAACTTTTTTTTTGGCTAACCCCCATAGGCCAGAACTCTGCTAGGAGCTCTATTTAGTCTTACGTAATAAACTTATGAGGCTATATTACCACCACAGTTTTATAAGAATTTATAAAGAATTTAGAACCTTGGAAGGTTAATAATCCCAATGTCACAGCTACCAGATCTAGAACTACTGCTGGGTGAGACATTTTCGGGGAATATACAGTTTAAAACAGCGAGGGGGTGACAACATCGATGCTAACGATCTCCCCATGGCCTCTGACATGTCAGGAACATCAGAAATCTACGGTAGCCAGATGCACACAGGAAGGAGACAAGACGAGGAGTGAATGTGTCAGGATAGCCTCTCTCCAAGGGGATAAGGCCACTTTTCCACAAAGACTGACCAGGGATTTATGGGACGTGGAGGAGCTTTTGTGGAATTCCGCCAATGTCCCTTTCTGTCCCCCACCCGCCTCTGTAAAAGGAGGGCTGACGACAGGTGTGTTGGTGAGGCTGTATTTGCCCAGTTGCTGCCAACTGGCTGAGCTGCTGCCAAGGAGTCGGTGTCAGGGCTCCCAGGACCCTGGAACCTGCCCCCCTCCTGCCCCAGCGGTTCTAACAGCTGCCGGGAGGGGTGAGGGCACCTCCCGAGGGAAGGAAAAGCAGGCGGGAAATGTGGATGTGAGGTGGGAGGCAGAATTGTGCAGGGATGAAGGGGGTGGGAGAAGCAAGCAAAAGGCCAAAGCAACAGGAAAGCAGTCTGCTCTCAGGGTCTCTTAATAAAACTCCTTTCACCTCAGGACCACAGCTAGCTCAATTTATAAAGGAAGTTACTCATAAATCCACCTTTGTGTTCGAGGAAGATTAGGGTTTCTTAAACTTTCACATGCAGAAGAATTGCAGGAAGAGCCCCAGAGACTGTGGTGGGAGGTCTGAGGGGAGCCGGGGAGCCGGGGAGCCTGCGAGCGCTCAGATGATGCTCAGCTGCCAGTCGGCGGACATGCTTCGAGCAGAAAGGGCTGCAGTCATCTTTACAAGGAGCAGGTCCTTGTCAGAGCCCTTTATATTTATCATCTCATTTGCCAAGTAGGTCCTATTCTTATCCCCATTTTACAAATGAAGGCACTAGAGCAGAGAGGAGGTGCCAAGTCTGGGTAAGGTTGCACCACATATAACTGGAAACAGGATTCTAACCCAGAGCTTGTGCTCTGAACCACGATGCCAGCCACTCAAAAGAGATCAGTCCTCAAATATTTCCTGTCCCAACAGGTGCGATCTTGCTTTAGCTCTCAGCTCTCCTGCCTGGACATTCGAGCCTCCTTAGGGCCCTGCAACAGGAAGATGCGTGCCTCACATGTGGGAAAATCTACCAGGACATTAACTGTCCCACAAGAAAGAAAGTTTAATAACAGAAGGCCAGCCCTCCAGGAATGACGCCCTAGGTTTTAGCTTCAGTGATTTAGAGATAAGGGAGAGGGCAGCAAAAATGCTAATAAGCAGGAAAATGTAGGAGAGAATTTTGGAGGGAATTTTAAATATTCAAGGATCTCAACTTCTAATGCCCATAAACAGGAGAGAGAGAAAATCTGAGTCACTAAGAGGGACTCCAACTTGCCAAAGCTACGTGAGTTCAATCAAAGCCCCACGAACAACAGCCCAGTTACAGAAGTGACAGACAGACATCCATCTCTATATACGACTGTCAAACATTCGCTACCAAGGCAGATGATCTTTAAAAGATTCAAGGATATATGTCAGTTATACTTAAATTAAAAAAAGATTCTAGGAGAAAGATTACATGCAAGAAGAATAAATAAGGTCAAATTGTGACCCAGTAACAGGCCACCTCCCAAAGGATTAACGATTCCTTCGATACCACCTTACGGGAAGTTCACCTGTTTGCTGTTCTTCTTCTCTTCAGTATTTTTCTTATCATTTTTTTTGAAAGCATCAAAAGTGGCAGGGTCGACACTATATAAACATTCAGTCCACTTCCCATAGAGGGCACAGAGCTTCTTCTTGCTGTCAAGAGAAACTGATGTTTAGCCAACAACCGAACCAGTGCTTAGCTATAACTCAGTGTTATTATAAAGATGCTTATGAATCAGATTCTTTAAAAAAATAGATACTGCCTTGTAGAAGAAAGCTTTTTCAACTTACTGAAATGTTTGTTTCCTAGGTTATGGCAGCAGATTCTGATACTGACATTTTATTTAGTGAACAACACCTATACTATTCAACATTTAAAATGGACACTTTACCTTTTATCTTGAATGTAGCCTTCAACTTTGTGTAATTCCTTACCAAAAAGGCCACATGGCTTGAAATTCAACACACATTTGTCCCCAGTCCTAAGGAGGAGAAATGAAGCTCAGGTTACCATTCAACATGGAAGAGGCAGTCAAGAATAATGACTGTGATAACTTTTCTAGCAGCAGTTTGCTAGTGGACCCACCATAAGGAAAAGGTAAGCAAGTCATAACAAATAAGTAACTTACTGCTATGAAATGATATCTGTGTCACCCTCAACTTCATATTTTGAAGCCAGAACTCCAATGTGATGGTATTTGGAGGTTCTTAGGTCATGAGGGTGGAACCCTCAAGAACAGGATAAGTGCCCTTAAAAGAAGAGCCATGAGAGATGATGGCTCTCTCTCTGCCGTGTGAAGATATGAGAAGGTGGCCATCTGCAAGCCAGGAGGAGGCCTTCATCAGACATCAAACCTGCTGGCCCACTGATCTAGGATTTCCCAGCCTCCAGAACTGTGAGAAGTACACTCCCCCTGTTTAAGCCAGTCTGTGGTATTGTTATAACAGTCTAAGCTGACCAAGACTCTTGTATAAGGTCACAAAGTAGGTTTTGAACCCAACTCTTTTATACTTTTCTATTCCTCCAGCCCCACTCCCATGTGAATAATACAAACTACTAAACAATATAAGCAAAACAAGCGGAGGCTGGAATTAAGATTCACAGAGGCTGGGGAAGCTCAGGGTTCACCTCGTCTTCACTAATCAGAAACTTTAATGGACTGTTTATTAAGTGAATGGGCTTCTATTCATTTAATAGTTGTACCGCCTGTTTTGAATTTATCTAGAGTTTTGTGTATTTTTTTTAAAATGAAATCCATCAATACTGAATGATGACAACTGAAGGGAAATATAAGTACCCTAAAGCGTCTTACTTGTGGTTTGTGATTTCCATATTGCCGTACTGCTCAATCCAGAGTTTACCCACGATGATATTATGTACACAGCAGGTAGGATTTGTCCATGTATATGCTTCATTGTGTCTAAAAAACAAAAATAAAACCAATACCCAGAAAAACAAGCAAGAAGTGCTTATAAAGTGCTTCTGTCTCAAATGCCATTAACTGAGGATAACAAATCATAGTAGTGGGGATAACTCGGCTGTGTTGGTGTTAACTCCCAGTACAACAGGGATCGCCTGACCACTTTTATTGTTCCTTAAAAAGATGCAAAAGCTTAAGGAAAAAAATGTACTGTACACTTCCACCAAACTCCAAATAAATTACATATATAACCATTTAAGGCATTCAAGTTAGGTGAAAACATATTAAAAAATAAAATTAGAGGTAGAAAATAAAAATGAAGGCCTATTATTTAGCACTTTCCAGAGAAAGTACTCTCCAGCTCATCAAAGGGAAAAACTCATGTATGTGAATAAGTAAAGAGAGAGGAAGGGAGAGACAGAGAAACACTGATATGAAAGAGAAACATCAGTCGGTTGCCTCCTGCACAGGACATGACCAGGAATCAAACCCGCAACCTTTCTGGTGTAGGGGATGACACTCCAACTGACTAAGCCACCCAGTCAGGGCAATAAGCTCCAATTTACATGTCCAGGACATCATCTAAGTAGGATGACACACTAAGTAACCTTTTGAGATTAGTGTCTTCAATTTTTATAATGCATTTTAAATTTTATGTATGAATAGTTTTTTCTTCGTATTTCTGAGTAGTACTTCACCATCTGGCTTAATCATTCACTCATCGAAGGGCATTTGGGTTGCTTTCAGTTTTTGGTGACTATGAATAAATAATACTATAAATATCTGTGTACAGGTTTATGTGAGAATATAAGTTTTCACTTCTCTAGAGTAAACACCTGAGTGGAACTGGTGAGCCATGTGGTAAACACATGGTTAACTTTATAAGAAACTGCCAACTGTTCTCCAGAGTGGCTCAACCATTTTATATTCCCACCAACAACATATAAGAGTTCTAGTTGCTCTGTATCCTTGCCAACATTTTGTATTGTCATTTTAAAAAAATTCTTTTTATTTTAGCCATCCTATTGTGCAGTGGTATCTCACTGTGAGTTCCTGTATTTCTCTAATGACTAATGCTACTGAGCATCCCTTCTTGCACTGCCATCCATGTCTCTCTTTTGGTGAATTATCTGTTCATTTTTTCTCAATTTCTTATTCTGCTGTTTCTCTTCTTATTGTTGACTTTTGAGAGTTCCTTATTCTGCTTAAAAGTCCTTTGTTGGATACATGATTTGCAAATAACTTTTGCCCGTCTATAGTTTGTCTCTTCATCCTCTGAACAGTGTCTTTCACGGAGTGAGTTTTTCATTAGGATAAAGTCTAATTTACCAATTTTGTCTTTTCTGGATTGTGTTTTGGTATTACATCCTAAGATATTTTTGACAAGTCTAAGGCCATAAGGATTTTCTTCTAAGGTTTCTTCCAAAAGCTTTAGAGTTGTACATTTTATTTTAGCCTATGATCTATTTTGAGTTGCTTTTTATATAAGGTGTGAGACGTAAGTTGAGGTTAATTTTTAATATATGGATACCCAACTGTTCCCACACCATTCGTGGAAAGAACTATCCTTCGCTGAATTGATTTTGCACCTCTGTTAAAAATCAATTGAGCATATTTCTGTGGGTTAATTTCTAGACTCTCTTCACTGTTCCATTGGCTTATGTGTCCATCCTTTTACCAGTAACACACTGTCTAGATTACAATACCTTTAGAGTTAAGTCTTAAAATTGGGAAGTGGAAGTCTGTTAGTTCTGTTTTGTTTTGTTTTTTAAATATCTCTTTATTGATTTCAGAGAGAGGAAGGGAGAGAGATAGAAACATCAATGATGACAGTCGTCACTGATCAGCTGCCTCCTGCACGCCCCCAACTGGGGATCGAGCCCGCAACCCGGGCATGTGCCCTGACCGGGAATCAAACTGCCATCTCCTGGATGCTAGGTTGATGCTCAACCACTGAGCCACACCGGGCCAGGCAGTTCTGTTCTTTCAAAAACTGTTTTGGCTGTTCTATTTCGTTTGCCTTTCCATATAAACTTTAAAATCAACGTCTCTGTATCTATCAAAAATCACCCTGGGACTTTTATTTGGATTGTGTTAATAAAGACTGCTTATGAATCAATTATGGGGGAACATATTATCTATATTGAGGGGTCCCAATATATTGAGACACAGCATGTCTCTCCATTACTCAGACAGTCTTTGATTACTTCCATCAGGATTTTGTAGTGTTCAGCATACAGACCCTATACGTTTCATCATCTTCATTCTGCTATGGAGCCTATCCTAGTTACTGTATTTGTTACTGTATTTTTTAATACAAAAATTTCCAGAAATGCTTTCTACTTCTTTGCTAGAATATTCTTTTCATTTTAAGAGTCTTCATCTTTAGTTCATGGAACATAGTTATAATAGCTGCTTTAAAGTCTTTGATACAAATTTCAGTATCTGAGTCACCCTGGGGTTGAGAGTCTATTGACTGTGTTTCCCTTGTGAGTTGCTGAGATTTTCTGGTTCCCTTGCACGATGAGTATTTTGGATAGTACTCTGGCCATGTGAATATTACAATACTCTGGGTCCTCTTAAAATATTCTGGAGAATGTTGTTTTGTTTTAGTAGGCAATTAGTGTAGTTTCAGGCTGTAAGTCCTGACCCACTTTCTGTGGCCTCTGATTCTAGTGTCAGCTTAATTTTCAAAGCCCTTTTTAGTGCTATTCAGATCCACCCCTTAATAGTCGTTTGGGGACGTGGGCACTGGTCCACACAGCAGTTCAGATCTCAAAGCCTTTGGTGTCCCATTTTGCGTCATTTCAATGCATGAGTGTGAGGATGATCTTACGGATTCATACAGAGCTTCACGGGGTCCCGTTCTTGAGCTCGCTGCTCTCTGTGATTTTCCCCACACTCTCAGATACCAGAGGGGTTTATCTCTGGTCTTTGGCTAGCAAGCTGGGGTTTTAGCCCCTCTGCTCTGTCTTGCACTTTCCACAACTAGGTCTTCCTCTGGGGCAAAGAGGTGAGAAGAGAGAGAGAGGGGAAAAAGTAACAGGGATTCTCCTCTCACTCCTTGGACCACAGAGGCCCCTTTATCCAGTTCCTCTGGCCAAGAAGGAAGACTTTTCTGAGTGTCAGGTACTTGTGTGGGTGTTGCGGCCACCACTGCTACAGTCTGGAGCCCTAGAGTTTGCTTGGGGGCAAGGCAGGGAGAGAAAAATAAAAAGGATTTTCTCCATTCTCTATCTTCTACAAAGGTATCTTTCCAGGTCTTCTAACCAGAAAGAAAGGGTTTCTCCTGGAACTTTTTCCACCTGCCTCCACTGCCCAGTTTTGGGATCTGGGTTCCTCTGACTCTAAACCAGGAGATATTGGGGGGGAGGGGAAATAAAACCAAGATAGTCTCTGCCATATTGGTCTTGGGTTTTTATTTCTCTTCCTAACTGACCAGCTTTCATTCACTTTTCTGAATCCTCAGATAGTTGCTGTATGTCTTCTGTCCAGGTCTTTAGTAATCAGTAGGAAAAACAGGCTCAAGTGGGCATATTCTATCCTAACTAGAACTGAAACTACCTTTGATTTTAAAGCTAATCTTTTTTTCCCATTGGGAAGAAGAGAACATCCAACTTATCTAATGTCTAAGATATGCCACACAATTGTTATTTCAACAGTTCACAAAGGGAATTCATTTTGAAAGTTGGTTAAACAAAACATTATTGCCATGATATACAGAAAGCTTGTTTCATAAGAGCTGCCATAAAGTGATTAACTCCATTCTATCTTAAAATAGGCCCAAACACCATAGTCAAACATCAAGTTAAACTTTTAAAACATGCCCTGATTAACAATGGCTAGTACCACGTTCCTCAAATTTTTTGACATGCAGGTAGATAACTGATACTTCATAAAAGCTGTTTCTTTATCTCCAGCTTTTGAAGATGATCAGGTCTGTGTGCAACTGTATGCACTTCTGTGTAAATGTATATACAAATGGCTTGATTCCAACTTACTCAAGAAGCTCCAAGGTGATGGTTCCTTTGGGTTCTGCTTCTACACTCTTCCCCCAGAACTTCAGTTTGGGGTAGATTGAGCCATGAAAGATGAAATCATTGTTCAGTCCTTCGGCGTGGAATGCGCTAATGGGTGGGTGATGGCTGACCTGCTCGGAGATGAGCCTGAAACCAAGGTCATCCCTTAAAATGAAAAAAAAGTAACATTGTAATTAATTCTTCTCATGGAATGTGTACATTACTGTCATTTCAGTCAAAAAATATTAAACAAGTTTGACAAAATAAACAATTCTTTATTATCCTGATGAAAGAACAACTTAACATATTATTAACTGTACAAATGCAACCCAAACTACTAAATCCAATGTTGTTATAATTCTAGCTATTTTAACATATGAAAATAAAGAACACCCACATGGTTTTGGGTGAGCTGCACAAATTGATAATATTAGCCATATAAATGTAGAAGTTATCATTCCATTTATATTAAGATAGAGGAATATGATGTGTGCACTTCCAAATATCTAGGGATTAAATGAGAACAAAACCTGTGCAGAGAAGAGGAATATTCAGAAAAACTAAAGCCAAATGAATTCCCTAATTGTGTGCAAACAAGCTTCAACAAGCAAACACCTGCAGGTGCAGGTGCACTCACTGCCTTTCTGCCAACAGAATAAATTTATACTAATACATTTTATATGATTATAAAAACCCCAATCATGTCTTATGATCTACATAAGAAGAACAGGACGATACTCCCACATGATCAGGAATAATGAAATCCCCTAATTACTTTTTATAATGGCATATTTTTTGTATGTCCCAATATTTTTAACATAGTCTCTAAAATAATAAGCATCAGAAAAACAAACATCAAAATTATTCACTTGCTCCAGTCATACAAAATCATTGATGCTCAAAATATATATTTTTCTCTTTCATTTTAAAAGCTATATAAATGTGGCAAATTCACCTACTCGTCTGGAATAGAGTGAAGCTCTTACCGCACTAACTCGTAAGTCTCCCCCAGCAGCGGGTTGAAGGGCTTCCCAGTGCGTTCCCACTGAGAGGCCACAGCAGACACAGCAAAGGCAGCCACACACTGTGGGACAGAGCGGTAGGAGTTAAAAATAGCCCAGTCTGCTCATTTTCAGGAACTGAAGTTCTGCTTAAGACTGTAATTTATAAAACTATTTTGAGGAGTTTAATTACTTTGAATTTTTATATGGCTCTAGCCACCTCATATGCAAAGATGGATATTCAGAATGAAAATCACTCCAAGTCTCTCCCTGTAGTGTCATTCCCAATTGTGCTGTTTATAACAGCCTAAAGGGACTACTGGAACATTTAAAAAACTCTCAAATCCCAAATTACTTTTAATTCCTTCAAAATTTCTACAAAGCACAACACGTTTAGAGTAGGGGAGAAAAGATAAAACTAAACAAATTGGTGTCAAGCCCAATGAGGTTGGAAAAAGCTGATTTTGTATGAAGTGAAAGAACAGAAAGATTCCACTTAGAATGTTCTTGCTCTGTCTGAAGCAGAACAATGTGGCTACTGTGCTCTGCCTGTATCCAGGACCCTAGTCCCCCCATACATCACATAAACATCTTCTATTCAAAAGAAAACTAAAGAGTGCGATTCCTTGTTGCCTTTTGTTTTAACCTATAGCAGAGTGTGCATGTTTATATACATACATAAGCATAAATGTACATATTTATGTGTGTTGATTCCTTCTAGGAAACGCGGAATGCAGAGGACACTCCAAACACGCTGACTCTGTTTTAACAACATTTCCCAGTCTCATACTGGACTCAACATTATTTGTGTCAGTGTGTCTGGGGTGGGGGACTGGGAGGGCAGGAGTGGCAGAAAAGTCTGTAAGGCTTAAACCTTGTGCAGTGCTTGCTTTACACATACCTGCATCCTTTCCACAGGGTCAGAAAGTGAACTGGCCTTGTGGATGAGGTATGTGTGCTCCATGTATTCAGTGAGTCGCTGCAGGAAGCTCAAAGGCTCATTAAATATCACTGGCATCGTAATCTTGGATAGTTCCTATTTAACAGAAAGGAAACAGTTATGGCCTATACACACAGCAAACTTAACTGCTGTTGTCTCTGCATAACATAATCCTGGAAAGGACGTAACAGAAAAGAGCAACTCATGAAATTTAATATCAGTTCAGTTTTACTAGTCTTTCCAGAGCACCTAACAGTCTGGAGTATATTGTTCTAGATCTTGAAGGAAGTACAAAGATCACCCGAGGAGCTCACAATCTAGTGGTGAGCATGAGATGATGACTACTAAGAAGTCTGCTTTAGATCAGAAGTAGGAAATGGGCTGTAAAGGTGATGGGCACAAAAAAGCAAAGATCTTCATAGTGGACTAAGGATTAACCACACCCACTATTTCTGGTGAATAATTTTCCAAAATAAATTTCAGACTATTTTTGACTAACACTGAAGTTTCCTAAGCACGCCAATCTGCTATACATTGTGGACTAGGGTACTAGAAGGCTATTGTGTATTTTACAGAATAGGTTTTAATTTCTGCCTGCCAGAATTATACAATCACAGTAGACTTCCAGAAATAATTAAATAATTGGGTGGGGGTTCTCTGACCTGAATTACAACCTGTGGACTACATGTTGCCAGCAAGCACCATGGGGTCCTTTAAAACATTTCATTAGGTAACAAACTTATCTTGGTATTCTCAGGAAATTTCTGGTATCTTCCCAACCTTCCACCTACCCTTATTTCCCTTTCCCTTGGGAATTAGGTCTTCCATGAAGCCTGCTGACTAAAGACAAATGGTCAGGTGAGCACTGCAAGGTGACCATTTGAATGACACTGTCTCAGCTCTGATGTTTTCCCCTTCCACGTCCACATTGTTACAGATCTGCACAATTAAAAATAATGCAACCTTCACAAAACTAGAACCAGAGCACATTAAAAACACAACAACTCATTTGTTACTATAAAATATCCCAGAATACAGACAGACATGTAGCAACTCAACCTGATTAAAACAAATGGTAGGTTTACTGAAGTCACACTGAGAAGACAAGGCAGGATAGGGATCTATAAAGAGATAAAGAAGGCTCGACTATATACACCCTAAGATCTCATTAAATCCAGAAACTCACTGTTAGGGCCAAGTGGAAAAAACTGGGACTTATTTTTTTTAAATTCAATAGTGTAATACATAACTCTCAGTGTAAAATTTAATAATACAGAAGTAAAAACATGAAAATGCTCCTCTCCCCGGAGACAAAACACCATCAACATTTGGGATACATTGCTGTGTGTTTACACACATGTGTGTATACACATATATATTATTGATTTTTATAATGCACGGGATCCGCTCTGTATTGACCCATGACTTGCTCCTGTCACCACCTTTACTGTGTTGAGTTCTTACACACACGTAAGGTGGATCACTGAGTCTGTCCAATTCTTTGTAATCGCTGGATAGGGTGATGGTGAGACCACAGAGCCAGACTGAGCTTCACTGCTGGCTTTCTCATTTGAGACCAAAAATGAAGGCAACAAAATAGAAAACAAACTGGTGAGACTACATCAAACAAAAATCTTGTGCACAGCAAAGGAAATCATTAACAAAATGAAAAGGCAACCTACTGAATGGGAAAAAGTACTTGTAAATCGTATGTCTGATAACAAGGTAGTGTCAAAAACTATATAAAGAACACATACAACTCAGTATCAGAAAAACAAATAACCCCAATTAAAAAACTGATGGAGAAACTGAATAGAAGACGTTTTTTCAGAGGCATACAGAAGTACATAAAAAGATGCTCAACATTACTAATTATCAGGGAAACGCAAACCACAGTGAGATACCACCTCGCACTTTTGAGGATCGCTATTGTCAAAAAGACAAGGGAACCCCTGCGCACTGCTGGTGGGAATGTAAATTAATGCAGCCACGATGAGAGACAATGTGAAGGCTCCTCGAAAAATGTTTAAAAAACAATCCCACTTTTGGGTATATGTCAAAATGAAATGAAACCATTATCGTATCTCAAGGAAATATCTGTATTCCCATGTTCACTGCACCACTATTCCACCGACATCTTGCCTCTTCCAACTCCCGGAGTACAAGAATCTGCTCACAACTGAGCATGTGATCATGCATTAGATTGTATTACCTGCTGTTTCGTCATGAGCATTAACCAGCTTATCATCATGCTAACTAATTATACTGTAATACAATTCCTGAAGGGGGGCATAATCCCTGCATTACCGCCCGCATCCCCTCCCCTCAGGGAGAGCCGAGCACAGGGCGGGGCGCCCTTCCAGGGTTTACTCCCAGTCACGCGTTGGTCACAGGGTGCTGCACTTCCTACCTCTCCACTGGCATGCAAGTTCCCCGAAATCAAAACCTCTTATTTAATGATTCACAATAGCTCACGTGGTGAAATGTGAAAAAAGTAGGTTACAAAGCAACATGTTCAAAAATACTCTACTTTTATAAAAAACATGATTTATAGGTATGAGAACAAATATTAGAAGGTCAAAGCACCAAAAAGTTAACAGCTGTTGTCTTTTGGAGTTGGCAGGATAGGTAATCTTAACTATCTTCTTTTTGTTTTTTTGTATTTTCCAAATTCCCTAAAGAGACATCTATTGACCTTCCAATCAGGAGTAAAACAAGAGCTATTAATCTGAAGCCTAATACTTTCAACCCCGTAGGAGGGAGGGGCGGGACAGCGAACCCTGCGCCGCAGGGGCGGACGGCCTTACAGCACACACTGACATCACGCTAATCACAGGGCGCACGGGAGGAAAAGCGGACCAACAAGGGATGCTCGGGCCAGGCCAGTCCTAAGTTCCAGGGACAGCAAAGCGTTAGGGTTAAGAGACTAAGTTGTGAACAGAAAGCGGAATGGTGGTAGCCAGGGCGGAGGGAACGGGCCTTAGCGGTTAATGGGAACAGACTCCATTCTGCAAGACTGAAAAGCCTTCTGTGCGAGGATGGTGGCGATGGCAGCCCAACAGTGCCAATGTATTTAATGCCACTGAACTGCACATTTAAAACATAGGTGAGATAGCAAATTTTACATCATATGTATTTTGCCACATTATTAAAAAATTTATCTTTACTGTTGAAAGTATTACAGATGTCCCCGTTTTTCCCCCCATTGACCCCCTCACCCCGCTCCTGCCCACTCCTCCTCGGAGATCAAATGCCCCTTGCTGCGTACTGCTTGTTTCATTACGTACCTCCCAGGGTTTGTAATGATTAGAGTAATTCATATAAAAACTTAGAATAGTGCCAGGCATATGTTAAGTGAGCAATAAAAGTTACCTATCATCATCATCATTATTAATAATACGTGCAAGAGTGCCAAGTTCTCCAAGACCGCATGGAGGCAAAGAGGCGTTGAAGGTTGGGGTGCTTCGCCCCATCGCTGGGCAGCTGAGCTATAAAGAAACTACTCACAGGCCTGGCTTTCAAGCTCTGGGTGAGGGAAAAGGAGTGATGGAAAGGACGGCGCCTCCTCCTGGAGCCCCAGCCAGCAGGGGTCGCTGCAGGTCCTGCTGGCAAGGTTCTGACCCCTGGCTGGCTGGCTGTCCTATTCAATCACCTAGACCACAGCTCACTGCAGTGATGACTTGAGTCCACCTCTTGAGCAGTATGTGACACCAACTCTGCTGCCTCTGGCTCAGCTCTCTTGTATTCTGCATTTCACTGTGCTGTGCACAATAGCAGGGTGAGGTTTAAAGAAACATAAAGGATTTATTCATTAAAGAAATGAAGAACTTCACCTACAAATTTGATTCTGGATTTCTTTCCTAAAATATAGTATAAGGACCATAAAACATTCACTGAGGGAATGAGAAATGTGTTGGAGGTGACATGGCTTTTAACCTTTCCCTAATTATGGGGGATCAGATAGGAATCCTGGCCTGGGGACTTAATCTTTCAACTCTAAAGCATCTCTGTATGTTGCTCTTTTTTCACATATATTTCCCTGGAGAAATATAGGATAAAAGCAGAATGGGAGAGGAAAGTGTCGACTAGCCACTGGATGTTCAACACCAGTTGGCTAGACGTCACATGAGTTAGCAAGGCAATGAAGAGTGTAGTATAACCCTGCTGGTGTGGCTCAGTGGTTGAGTGTTGACCTACGAATCTGGAGGTCATGGTTCAATTCCTGGTCAGGACACATGTCCCAGTTTCGGGTTCAATTCCCAGTAGGAAATGTGCAGGAGGCAGCCAATCAATGACTCTCTCTCATCATTGATGTTTCTCCCTCTCCCTTCCTCTCTGTGAAATCAATAAAAACATTAAAAAAAGAAAAAAAGAAAAAAGAAAAGAGTGTGGTATAAACTCTGGAGATCAAGACATGAAGGACATGGTTTGATCATCACTTCAACGGGCAGACTATTTTTAATCATTTGGAAAGCTCCTAAAATTCTAAAAGGTTTTTTAAATCCAATTTTGAAATCTAGAATAATTTAAACACCTCCCTATATGTTTTAGTAACTCAGAATGTGAGCCTTCAGGGAAATGTAATGGCAAACATCTGGGCAAAATAATGGAGGGAGTAGAAGGGAAAGAAAAAGACCTGAGAGAACATGTGAACATAAATCCAAACTGCCAAAAAACCACCTCGACCTCTCAGGAGAGTATAACCTGCTAGTTTGAAAGATAACAATGACCCGGCTGGGCGTGGCTCAGCGGTTGAGCATCGACCTAAGATCCAGGCGATCGGGGTTCAATTCCCGGTCAGGGCACATGCCCGGGTTGTGGACTCGATCCCTAGTCAGGGCATGCAGGAGGCAGCCGATCAATGACTCTCTCATCATTGATGTTTCTCTCTCTCCATCTCCTTTCCTCTCTCTGAAATCAATAAAGATATATTTTTAAAAAAATAAAAGATAACAATGGACTTGCAATCTTATTTCCCTTATTAGTCTGTAATTATTTTTAAATAATCTTTACAATTATTTTAACTTTTAAAATCTACAGTTCCCTGGATATGTAATGAAAAGGTCAATGAAACCGACTACATATTTCATTCTCTC